GATAAAAAGTAGAGACATCACCCTGCCAACAAAAGTCCACATGGTCAAAGCAATGGTATTCCCAGTAGTCATGTATGGCTGCGAGAGTTGGACTATAAGGAAGGCCAAGCGCCGAAGAATAGATTCTTTTGAACTACGGTGCTGGAGAAGACTCTTGAGAGTCCCTTGGACTGCAAGAAGATCAAATCAGTCAATCCTAAAAGAAGTCAACCCTGACTGTTCCCTGGAAGGCCAGATAATGAAACTGAAGCTCAAATACTTTGGCCACCAAATGAGAAGGGAGCACTCACTGGAGAAGACCCTGATGCTGGGAAAGATTGAAGGTCAAACAAGACGGGGACGGCAAAGGATGAGATGATTAGACAGTGTCATAGATGCAACGAACATGAAATTGAGCAAACTTCAGAGGACGGCGGAAGACAGGAAGGCCTGGTGTGATCTGGTCCATGGGGTTGCGAAGAGTCGGACTCGACTGTGCGACTGAACAACAACAAAGTCTACTGAGGTCAGTGGGCTTAGGAGGGTGTAACTTGGTGTATTTGAGAACCAGTATGGTGTAGTGGTTAAGTGTGCAGACTCTAATCTGGGAGAACCAGGTTTGATTCCCCACTCCTCCACTTGCACCTGGCTGGATGACCTTGGGCGAGCCATAGTTCTGTCAGAGCTGTTCTTGAAAAACAGCAGTTTCTGTCAGAGCTCTCTCAGCCCCACCGACCTCACATGGTGTCTGTTGTGGGGAGGGGAAGGGAAAGGAGTTTGTAAGCCGCTCTGAGACACCAAGTGAAGGGTGGGGTATAAATCTAATCTCTTCTTCTTCTTCTTCTGTTTAGGATTACATTGTCAATCTCCTCCTAAACTTTATCTTGCCCTGCCCTCCTCACTACCATTGACCTGATGTTACAGGGGTTTTTTCTGGACAGAAGAGTTCCTATGATCGACACTGGATTAGTTGCTCAGACATCAGAGGTATATTCTCTTGAACCAGAAACCCAATGGAATCTTTAGAGATTGTATTCCAAGGTACATGGGCAGTGATGGTTGGGGGGGGGGCACTGTTTCTTGCATGTTATGAGCCTTCAAATGTCAGTGTCAGTACAGATAGATTGTTTCAGAATCTTTCAATGAAATTAGGGAGGCAGCACTTCTTCCTAATGCTCGTGATACAATTTGCATTGCTACACCAGAAGGGCCAGTTCACATGAACTCACCTGATGAATTAAGCAACTCATGACATCTTGCAAGAGTGAATGACACATCATAGATTAAATAGTACAAAACGCTTCCAAACATTGCCTGCTTGTCAGTTAAAACAGTCCACACGCTGAGCTGCAAGCCATCAAGGAATGCCAATGAAGTGGTATAAATGTATGTGTAAACCAATTCCATTACAAATTCTACATTTTATGTTTACCTTAAGAGGATTTGGAATTTCCTTGCCATACAGATAAAGTGAACAATAAATTCTTTAACTGCAAAGCAAACATAGCCAGCTGCACAGTGCAATTTCCTTCAAGACCTAATCAATGTGCCTTAACCTTGAGTTGCAAAGACCACTCTACAGGATTTCAGGGAAGTTCCATTTACAATTTCATTCAGTCCTCAGTTTCCTTGTGGAATTGGTCAAATATACATCCATTGTGACTATACGGATGCATATCTTCTAGAAAACACACTTGACATAGCCAACTAAATCAACAGAAGCCAGCATGCAGTTTTCATGACGTACCAATAAATGATGTTGTCATTTGGTGATATAGGACTGCTCAATGAAAGTATTCCTAAGGATTTGACAGCTGGTATAGCACATCACTTAAGAGATTAAGCTATGAATCAGAAGTCCCTGATTTGAATATCACCTCTGCCACAAACTCCCTAGGTGATTTTAGGCAAGCCTTGATGTTTGTTTCAAGAGCCAATCTACAATATGGAAACCATACTATGAATCTGTTGTCAGGAGTACAAGATAACATAAGCTAACACTTTGAACACCCTAAAATGCTATCTAAATGCTTGGTAGTTATGTACTTACATAGTGTTGTTCAGTATCATCCTGTACAGTTAATGCAAAGTACTACTATAAATTATTATATCAAATCCCAGAATAACTACTGCATGTAGTTTTATACAGTGCAGATATGTAAGTTTAGGGGTTAAATAGATTTCCGTGTCAGCAGCAGCAAATAAGTGTAGACAGAAACAAATTTACAACATTTTTTTAAAAGATTCATGAAATTTGTATTAGTGGAACCAAACATGTCTTAAGCATTCTTGTGCTCACCATAAAAATTTTGCCCACTTTTTCCAGTACACACATTGTATGTAATTTAAAGAATGGAATTATCATGCATCATATGGTACATCTGTTGTACTGTATATAAATCTATTTTGCTTTTTTCAAGCTTAAGCCTCAGTGCCAATACAACCACAGTGAATCACATTCCACCAAAATTTTAATTATACTTTTTATGGATAAAGAATGTTACCTGGGACCATTGCTCATGATGGACATGGAGATGAGGAATGAAAGTTATTGTATCAAGTCTACTCTGCCACAACACCACCAACTCTGGGCATCAGGCACACTTTCCCAGTTTCCTTTTCTAATTAAGAAGATACAGCAGTGTTTCTACAATTAAGTAGTTGTGATATATGAAAAGGCCCAAGCAAGTAAGGGCATCTATATAAGGCCCAGGCAAGTAAGGGCATCACCATAAATTGTTAATACCCATATCAAGCAACTCCTTTGCTTTAGCCCTACAAGAGATTTTTGAATCTCTTTGTCAGACAAGTACAATTCCAATTGAGATAGACCATTTGGGTTTTGTCTTGCTCAGAGGAATTGAAGCATGACCTGCCAGTAAAGGTACCTACTTTCCCACCTGCACTGAGCACAGGGATGCTGACCATAAAAGGACTTTAAAATTATAGTCATCTCCTTTTGTCCCCACACACGGTCGTCCCCCCCCCCTCGTAACATCCTGCCTCATTGAGGGTTCTGGAGAAATCAAAAGCTTCATACTGTTTTGTGTCATTTTGTTTGGTTGTAATAAAAGGTATTATGTGGATTGTTGTTAATTTGCAGATTTGGATTTTGAACCAGCATGCCATTAAACTTTCACCATGTTTTTATACTGCGTCCATCATTTTAGAAATTAGAGGGCAACTTACACATACGTACATACGTATGTACGTACATAAAAATTGCTTTGTGTCAGGTACAAACAGATAGTAAAATATATCAGTACTTACAAATACACAACCCCGTCACCCAGAAATCACTGGTAAATGTCTTTTGAATTCATGAAACTGACCTGAAAACACAAAAGGAAAAACTGTTGAAATATTTTAAAAACTATCTTTTTCACTATTAATGCCAGTTGAGGCACTTTGAACCATCAATGAAGAAGTTACAAAAAGCTTTGTTTTCACCCATAATAGATTAACAATTTACATAGAATTTGTTTCCAGGAAGCCAATATCAAGGGAAACAGATATTTCTTTGTTCTCTGTCTCACATAGCAACACTGCCCATTACTGAATTCTAAAAACTATCAGAAAAGCAAGCATGGGACAATGCTGCAAGATTTTTTTTAAAGGCAAGTTGTTGTAGTACGTCTTTTTGAAATATTATTTTAGTTACATAGCGCAGATTATGTTCATAGGGAAAAAATTAGGTGCACTTATTCAAAGCTGAGCTGGAAATCAGTACAAAGAACATTAAAAAGTAAGGTAAAATTCTTCATAGACTGTTGGTGGGACCAGATCCAAGTTCTTTTGTCTAACTTGCTGTGTGACTGTGTGAAGGTTACTCGAGCACAATCGGTATAAAGCATTATTCAATTTAACTTCTCTTTTTTTTCTTCCTTTCTAAATGCCCCTCAGTACTGCCTGGAAAGGTAACAGATGCAACTCCAAGCCACAGTGCTTGCCTTATAACATTCTTTTGCTAGCACAATGAGTCACTTTATGCCTCTAAATATCCCTGGTTTCCTCTCTCCAGAACCCCTGTGTGTTAGAAGGTAGTTCGGCAGGAGTTTATTTTTATTGTTTGGTCTGCATGCAGCTGTTTTAGTTCTTGTGAAAACAAAAGGCACTTTGTTGCAAAGGCCTTGTTTTCTTTCCAGGACATGGGCATAGATACCAGCAATGCTACCCTGAAAACAGAAATGAATACAAGGTACTAGAGCTTGGATTTAAAACCTGTACTACTCCAAATGAATTATTTGCAACTGATAATTATGAAAGATGGAAGCATGCGTTATATTTCACATCAAGAGACAATACTGCAGTCGTTTTTCCCAGTATATCACTACCACAATGTTTTTGTCTGCCTCTAATTTTTTCTAGTTCTGTAGTTAGTTAGTTAGTTCGTTCGTTCTGAAAGGATTTTTGGGACCTCTCCCTACCACTTTACAGTACTTAAAGCTAGCTAGGAATGTACTGTTTCATTATCAGTATTTTATTAATCTACTGTAAGATGCGGTGGCTCAAGTGGTTAAGATGCTGAACTGCAGGCTGTGGAAGGTCAGTAGTTCAGCAGTTCGAGACCCCAGTGCCACATGACTCCAGTGCCACATGACGGAGTGACTTCCCATCTCTAGTTCCAGCTCCTGCCAACCTAGCAGTTCGAAAGCAAGAAATTGCAAGTAGATAAATAGGTACCACTTTGGTGGGAAGGTAACAGCGTTCCGTGCGCTTTGGTGTTTAGTCATGCCAGCCACATGACCACGGAAACGTCTTTGGACAGCGCTGGCTTTGAAACGGAGATGAGCACCATAGCAGCATCTCCTTCATATACCAGAGTTCTGTGCCCCCCTATTTAATCCTCTGGATCCTGGGAGAAATAAGTTAAAAGTACGCAATAGTTACTAAGAGCGCTGGCTCTTCGGCTTTTAAACGGAGATGAGCACCGCAACCCTAGAGTCGGACTCGACTGGCTTTCGAGCAAGGGGAACCTTTACCTTTACCTTTAAGATGCTTTGAGGCACTAATTCTTTAATAAATCAAGATGTATTTTAAAAGTGATTGGGCTTGTGAGACAGCACTCGGTAGACCTGCCATCTTTTAGGGTTTATATTCTCGAAGAATCTGCCATGCGTATCATCAGAATGGACCTATTCCAGACAACCCTCTGGCCTAGCATTCTGTACCAACTGTAACTTCGAAACAGGCCTCAGTGATAAATGTCAGATCAGGCCTGCCATCCAGAATTAAATCATGGGTGACTGCCACTTTACCTGTAACTGACCTGGCAGTGAAAAGTGAGACATTAAAGCCCAGTGGGGTGTTGATACTGTAACCAGCATCACCCTGGCTGGAAGAAGAACCAGAAAGGGCAATGGCACACAAATGCCTGCTGTCCCTTCCCCTTACCTGGCCTGTTCTTCTCCTACCACTGTATCTCCCCCTGTTCCACACCCTATTTATCGTGGCACCATCCCCTTCCCCATTCCACTACCCCAGGCACATCCCCAGCCAGCAGGTGAGAGAAGACAGACAGACAGGGGTCATTTCGTAGAAAAAGAGCTAGGGGAACTCATTAGCATAACCCATTAGCATATGCCACACCCCCTGACATCAGGGGCCCGGCGGTGGACCTGCAAGGCCAGCCAATATGCAGACGACACGCTATCTCATGCTACCAGCTGATCCCAGGGAGGCTGTGGAAACTGTGAACAGGTGCCTGGAGGCAGTTTTGGAATGAATGCAGGCTAACAAGTGGAAACGTAATCATGACAAAATGGAAGTGCTACTGGTGGCGGGAAGTAGGGCTGCCAAGTCCCTGGGGGGGCGGGGAAACCCCCGCCCCAGAGGCCCGTTCCCCGGCGGCGGCGGATTGGCCCCCAGGGGGAACCCCACCCCGGCGTGCGCGTCACCAGGAAGTGACGTTATGACGCCGGGCATGCTGGGGGAGGGGCCATGACCATCCGAGGGGGAAACTCTATGTTTCCCCCTCAGATGGTCGTGGCCCTGCCCCCAGCGTGCCCGGCGTCATAACGTCACTTTCTGGTGACGTGCGTGCGGTGTGCGCATAGGACGCCCGACGGGAGTCCCCTGCTCCCGACGGTTTTCGACTTGGCAACCCTAGCGGGAAGGTCTGACCCGGGTAATGGGTTATCTCCTCTTCTGAATGGGATTGCCCTCCCCCTAAAGAAGCAGGCTCATCGTTTGGGGTGCTTTGGGGCCCAGGCGTCCTATTGGATAGGTGGCAGCAGTGGCCAGGGTTGCTTTTTAGCCACTTCAGCTGGTGAGCCAGCTGTGGCCCTTCCTAGGTAGAAAAGATCTTGCCACTGTGGTGCATGCCCTGGTAGAATCTAGATTAGATTACTGCAACGTACTCTGCATGGGGCTGCCCTTGAAGACTGTCAGGAAGCTATATGGTTCAGAATGCTGTGACTAGAGTGTTCACTGGAGTGGGTCTTGGGGACCAAATCATTCCAGTTTTGTTCTGTCTCTACTGGCTTCCAATTTGCTTCTGGGGTCAATTCAAGGTGCTAGTATTGACCCTTAACACCCTATATGGCTTGGGGCCAGCATACCTTAAAGACTGCCTTTCCCCATACAAACCTACCCGCTAACTCCAGTCATTCTCAGAGCCACTACTTTGGCTGCCCCCACCATCTGAGGCTAGATGAGTGGCAACTTGGAAAAGGGCCTTCTCAGCCGTGGTACCAAAACTTCGGAACTCTCCCCAGGGAGATTTGTCAGGTTCCTTTATTGGTGTCTTTCAACAGCATACCCCCAATAACAGCTATCGACCCTCATTCTAGTGTTGTTTATGTGATTTAACTGAATTTTGTAATTATATTTTAATTGTTTAAATGTTTTAATGGGGTTTTTTTCTATTTGCCACTTTGTGGACCCTGATTGGGTCGAAAGGGAGCATAAAACGGTTTTGAATAATGAACCCCATGGGCCAAAGGCCAAAGGACGGAGCAGCAGTTTCCCAGCACCACACTCTGAAACCTGCTCTTGAGGCAGGACCAGAATCATTGTAGAACAGTGCCTCCCGGTTACAGTCCCAAAAAACAATCCAGAAAGATACCACAATCTAAAGCCACTGAGAGATTTATTTATTTACCGCATGGCTCAGGGCGAATTACAACCTATTATCAGGGCTATTTTAGGGCAGGAACGCACAGGAACGGAGTTCCGGCTGGCTTCGGAGTTGGCCACGCCCACTACAGCCAAAACCTCTCCATGCGTGGCTACAGAGGGAAGGCCTGGAGAGCGACACCCCCCCAGTGACTCTGAGGCAGGCGGGTCGGGGGGGCTGGAAGGATTGGGGAGGCTTGCCCGGGCGCCCCACGGCTGCGGGATGCCCAGGCAACCCAAAGGAAGGCAGTTTAAACTGCCTTCCCTTCAAGGGGGGGCTTGCCCTGGCAAGCCAAGGGAAGGCATGGGTGTGGCCTAATATGCTAATGATTTTTTTCTCTTGGGTGTGGCTTATTATGCTAATGAGGCCCTGCTGGGCTTTATGTACAAAAAAAAGCTCTGCATATGATAATACCCCTTGGGGGACACCACACATCAAAGGGTGTCATGATCAATGTTCCCCCTAAGGTGTGGAGTCTTGTGAGCAAAAATTCTACTTTGTGAGCTACTGGCATTAAAGTTGTGAGCGAGCAATTTGGCTGCTGCATCAATTAGTTTGCTCTGGAGCCATCCTTCCTGAGCTAAGGCAAAAATGTGTGAGCCGGAGGCTAAAAAACTGTGAGCTAGCTCACACTAACTCAGCTTAGAGGGAACACTGGTCATGATGTCTTCCCTAGCACCACCCTCTGTCCCCAACCTTGGAGGAATGAGACCAACCATTTCAAGGATGCAGGAGAATTAATAAGGTTGCACTCCCCTTGTCCATCTCCTTGTGCTTGTCATCAACCAGGATGACCGAGGCCATGTCAGTCCCATCATCAAGCTTGAACCCAGACCGGAACAGTTCTAAGCAACCAGTTTCAGTTAGGAATCTCTGAAGTTGGCCAGCCACCACTTGTTCAGGCACCTTGCTCCAGCGTGGTACATTTGAAAGTTTATTCAACTGTCCTGGTCCACACTAGGTTTCTTTAGGAGTGGATGCACCAGTGCCTGCTTCAAGGCAGCAGCGATCACCCTGTCTCTCAGGAAGGCGTTTACTGTCTCCCACACCAACTTTGGCAGCCCCCCCCCTCGCAGATTTAAGCAGCCATTAGGGACAAGGGTCGAACAAACAAGTGATCAGTCTCAAACTTCCAAGAATCCTGTCCACGTTTTCATAATGCACCAGCTGGAAGGTATCCCACACAACTGGACAAATGAACACCCTGGGACCATC